GAAGGAAAACCTTCCTTTCGGTCTATGTGTGTGCGTTCTCGAAACGTATCATTATTTCTTCTCCCGGTTCTTTGTATGGTAGAGCTTCGGCGATCTTCTCTCCCCTTTCTGAGGTTATTCCCGTTCGTAGAAGTGATAGAAACAATGTTACATTTTGCGTTATGGGTTTCGATAAGGAACCATTCTCTTTCTTTTAACCTCAACGTCCTTTTAATATCTTCGTAATGTCTTCTTAATATAGGTATAGAAAGAAGTTAAAATCGGTCATCAATAAATCAATTAAGTAACTGTATAGGTGCAGCAAGCTAAAAGAAACCGACGCTGACAATAAAATTATTTCACTTACAAGGAATATCGTTCGTAATTACTCGTTAATTAAACTTGATGCGAAACGTTCAAGTTTCATAACTCGACTTTATAGAACTAAAATCAACCGTATGATTCATCTCGGTTTTATAACTCTTCATGAACGAAGAAGAATTTTTGAGCTTCACCTCGTGGGTGTGTCATCTTTAAACATTTTATTTCCCATAGAATTCTAATGTACCATAACGCCTTTTACATAACTCGGAGATGTCCAAAACGCCCACCCCTACAATTTCATTTTCGACAAGAATTAATTTTTAATGTTGAAGGCGTAATTTTAATGTTATAATAATTTGTAAGTAACCATTTTAAAATAGATACTTTAAGGTGTAATTTAAACCAAGAATCGCTTTAAAATTCCAATAAATACGACAAGAATGATTTTTTGAAAATCATCAATTTTTATAACAAATATTTATTTTGAAAGAATTATCTCTTCAATTATGATTTTTTTACAAGAATAATTTTAATATCACAATAATTTGTTACTACTCAAATTAAAGTAGATACTTTAAGATTTAATTTAAACCAAGAATCACTTTGAAATTCCAATAAATAAGACCAGAACGATTTTTTGAAAATCATCAATTTTTATAACAACTATTTATTTTGAAAGAATTATCTCTTCAATTATTATTTCTTTAATAATTTGTTACAATTCAAATTAAAGTAGATACTTTAAGGTTTAATTTAAACCAAGAATCGCTTTAAAATTCCAATAAATACGACCAGAACGTTTTTTTGAAAATCATCAATTTTTATAACAGCTATTTTTTTTGAAAGAATTATGTCTTCAATTATTATTTTTTTACAAGAATAATTTTAATGTGACAATAATTTGTTAATACTCAAATTGAAGTAGATACTTTAAGGTTTAATTTAAACCAAAGATCACCTTAAAATTCCAACAAATACGGCTAGAACGACTTTTTGAAAATTATTAATATTAAATTATTATTTTTTTACAAGAACAATTTTAATGTCACAATAATTTGTTACCACTCAAATTAAAGTAGATACTTTAAGGTTTAATTTAAACCAAAGATCACCTTAAAATTCCAACAAATACGGCTAGAACGATAAAAACGTAGGAAAAGTAAAAAACTTTTTTGAGAAATAATAATAAAATGTTTAATTTTATCAAGTATACATGTTTCGAAACTAATGTTTCATCTTCAGTACCTAAATTTAAAAGAAATAAGAAACAATTAACAAATGTTAAACGGAACGTGTTAATACGGTAGGAGAAATCGGACTTTGAAAAAGTGAACTTACTTGGATTAATATACAATAAATGGAAAAATTATTAGGTAGTAGGTGGGGTTTAAAAATATATCAAGATATCTTTCTACTTTTCAACAGATAAAAAATTATCATAAATAATTTTTAAAAAATTATAAACAAAAAACCCTTTCAACAATCTAGTCAATCTTGGAATACAAACATACAATAGGGGTGTGGTTTAAAAACGTTTTATGTCGGTACACGTACGGAATACAGAATGATGAAAAATTCTTTGAAGTAATCAGTTAAAATTTATGGTATAGGCGGGTGTATTTGTTATCTAATAATTCATTTAATAGAACATTGGTGTTATCCTTGGAATGTTTATAGATCTCATATTCTTCCAGTAAGTCCAACTTCAAAGATTTAGGTTGGTGATGAATGAGTTCTGTATTGTTAAGATTTATTTTATGATNAAATACGACCAGAACGATTTTTTGAAAATCATCAATTTTTATAACAACTATTTATTTTGAAAGAATTATCTCTTCAATTATTATTTTTTTACAAGAACTATTTTAATGTCACAATAATTTGTTGCTACTTAAATTAAAGTAGATACTTTAAGATTTAATTTAAACCAAGAATCACTTTAAAATTCCAATAAATACGAACAGAACGATTTTTTGAAAATCATCAATTTTTATAACTATTTATTTTCAAAGAATTATGTTTTCAATTATGATCTTTTTACAAGAACAATTTTCATGTCACAATAATTTGTTACTACTCAAATTAAAATAGATACTTTAAGGTTTAATTTAAACCGAGAATCGCTTTAAAATTCCAATAAATACGACCAGAACGATTTTTTGAAAATCATCAATGTTTATAACAACTATTTATTTTGAAAGAATTATCTCTTCAATTATTATTTTTTTACAACAACAATTTTAATGTCACAATAATTTGTTACTACTCAAATTAAAAATTAAAGTAGATACTTTAAGGTTTAATTTAAATCAAAGACCACCTTAAAATTCCAACAAATACGGCTAAAACGATTTTTTGAAAATCATCAATTTTTATAACAACTATTTATTTTGAAAGAATCATCTCTTCAATTATGTTTTTTTTAGAAGAACATTTTTAATGTTACAACAATTTGTTACTATTCAAATTGAAGTAGATACTTTAAGGTTTAATTTAAACCAAAGATCACCTTAAAATTCCAACAAATACGGCTAGAACGATTTTTTGAAAATCATCAATTTTTATAACAACTATTTATTTTGAAGGAATTATCTCTTCAATTACGATTTTTTTACAATAACAATTTTAATGTCACAATAATTTGTTACTACTCAAATTAAAGTAGATACTCTAAGGTTTAATTTAAACCAAGAATCGCTTTAAACTTCCAATAAATACGACCAGAACGATTTTTTGAAAATCATCAATTTTTATAATAAATATTTATTTAGTAGAATTATCTCTTCAATTATTATTTTTTTACAACAACAATTTTAATGTCACAATAATTTGTTGCTACTCAAATTAAAGTAGATACTTTAATCTTTAACTTAAACCAAGAATCGCATTATAATTCCAATAAATACGACCAGAACAATTTTTTGAAAATCATTAATATAAATTTTTTTATAAAATTTACAAATTAATATCTCAAAAACGAAAAAGAATTTTTAAAAACGGTTTAGTTCATTAAATAGGCGAGGTTTCCTTTTATAACTAATAAAAAGATCAGAAAGTCTTTCTAACAAGTCGATTTTATAAGATTTTTTGAAATGAATTCGAAAGTTTCTCTCGAAGTTTTTTGTAGAACTTTTTCACGAAGTATTTTTGATACAATCAACTTTAAATTGAAGCGATAAATTATATGTTGTCTGAAAGAGGAAGTTTTAAGCTTTAATTTGACATAAAACTCATTCTATAATTTTCAAAAATACGACTTCCACAGCTTTTTGAATTTTATCATTTTTTGTTTGCAGTTTATCAAAACGTTAAAAACGCATCATATACTTTAAAATTTTTTTTACAAGACCACTTTAATGCCGAAGCAATAAGCATTATATTTTCTGAAAGAGGAAAATTTAAGCTTTAATTTGGTGCAAAAACTATTTCTTAGCTTTCATAAATAAGACCTCCACAAGTTTTTGAATTTTACCATTTTTTTTGCGATTTACCTACCATGTCTAAAACGCATCATTTCATTAAAAAAATTTGATAAAATCACTTTAATCTTGAAACAATAAGCTTTATATTTTCTGAAAGAGGAAAATTTAAGCTTTAATTTGGAGCAAGAAATATTTCTTAGTTTTCATAAATAAGACCTCCACAAGTTTTTGAATTTTACCTTTTTTTTTTGCGATTTACCTAATATGTCTAAAACGCATCATTTCATTAAAAAAATTTTTCAAGACCACTTTAATCTTGAAACAATAAGCTTTATATTTTCTGAAAGACGAAAATTTAAGCTTTAATTTGGTGCAAAAATTATTTCTTAGCTTTCATAAATAAGACTTTCACAAGTTTTTTAATTTTATCATTTTTTTGCGATTTACTTAAAACTTCAAAAACGCATTATTACTTCACATTTTTATCTCAAAATATTTTTGATACAATCCACTTCAAATTGAAGATACAAGTTATATGTTGTCTTAAAGAGGAAGATTTAAGCTTTAATTTGACATAAAACTCATTTTATAATTTTCAAAAATACGACTTCCACAACTTTTTGAATTTTATCATTTTTTTTTGCAGGTTATCAAAACGTTAAAAACGCATCATTACGTTAAAATTTTTTTACAAGACCACTTTAATCCCAAAACAATAAGCTTTATATTTTCTGGAAGAGGAAGATTTAAGCTTTAATTTGGTGCAAAAATTATTTCTTAGCTTTTATAAATAAGACTTCCACAAGTTTTTGAATTTTATCATTTTTTTGCGATTTACTTAAAACTTCAAAAACGGATTATTACTTCACATTGTTTGAAAGAAGAAGCTTTAAATTGTAATTTAGTGCAAAAATTATGTCTTAGATTCCATAAAGAAGACCTCCACAAGTTTTTGAAATTGCGATTTTTCTAAAACTCATCATTACTTTAAAATCTTTTTACTAGACCATTTTAGTCTTAAAACAATAAGCTTTATATTTCCTGCAAGAAGAAGATTTAAGCTTTAATTTGCTGCAAGAATTATTTCTTGGCTTCCATAAATACGATTTAAAGACATGAATTCTGAACAGTTTCAAAATGCGTTTTGAGCAAATTATAATGGCACTTTAAAGTTTGATACTGAGTGGGTGAAAGAACCAGCAAGCAGGATAGCTTTTGGAACTTAAATTAATTTTTCTGCAATATTCTAGAATAAATCAAAAAAAAAAGACAAACCTCTATGATGTCTGACGTGATGGTTTGCAGTACCAGAACAACAAGGTTGTTCCATATACATCGTCCAACTATTCTCAAAGTCGGCGTTTGCACCGGTAGCAATAAACAGAAGAAAAACGAGTAGCAGCTGCACGTTCCTGATGATCACAAACACGCTAGAAAATTTCTCGCCGCGCGCCATTTTGTTTGTAAACAAGTGAGGGTGGCGTAGCACGTGGATAACGCAGCTTTTACGGTGTCGTAGTTACAAAACTTTTTCACTAACTTCTCTCTTTCGCTGCTCTCTTTTTTAGCTTCTTCGGCACACTCTCGAAAAACAACAGAATATCACCGATACCACCAAATAAAAAAGAATAACAAACAAAATTAAAACAAAAACCGAACGGACCAAAACTAAAAAAACAAAAAAAGAACGAAAACGGGTTTCACAAACTGAACTCGGACGATACCCCGGGTCAGATGGAGAAGAAAACTTCTTTTTGGTTCAACTTCAATACTTTAACGGAAACGAACACAAAAGACGCGTTAAAAATATTTTTAAGTCACCGCATACAGGGGTGGTTTTTATTGTTGATGAAATTTTTGTTTGATACAAATCGTAAAAACTGGAGTATCTCGTTTTTTATGATTTAAATACGACTTGGTAGTGTTCGCCGTGTATTATACAGTACATTTCAGTAAAGGGCCGCACAACCTTTCCCGTCGGAGGTCGGAGCCGAACTGTCCGAAAGGAAACGCGGGCGGCGTGGAGTTGGCTTGAACGGTGAAGAGGGGGGCGCTAGTGTCGGAACGACGCCACGGATCGCAGCTTGCCATGTTTTAACTTCTCTTAGGTGTATTCTAGATTTTATGTGTACCAACTTTTATGTAGACTTCATTGTGCTTCATTTAGTTAAAGTTATCACTTCTTTTCTGGATTAATTCTGATAGCATTTTGTAAATATGGATTATTAAATACAACTTATCGTACAACTTTAGATAACCATAAAGTAGTAGTTATTGTAGTTTTGTGAGTATCTATAAATGAGATGGTTAAAGAATTAGCTGCGTGAATAACATCATGGTCAGACGTAGATGTTGGAGAATTATCAGGAAGATTTTTTTGGTTTATACAAACTGAAATTGTATTACATACTTGCAACCGACGGACAAGAATAAACACGTTTGAGAACGCATCTGCCTGTAGGTCGCCGTTTCACCGATGTCGGCAAATTTATTTAGGGCGACCGTCTGTCGGTCTATTAAGAGATTATGAAGTCATTATTTCTTCTCGATATTTTTCAAATACAACCCAACCATTATACGAGTGCGAGAAGTTAGCCAATTAAATGTTTCATACAAGGGCGTCGCCAGTCAGTGGGCCAGGGAGGGCAGGACAAAAAAATTGAATAAAAAACACCAAATTATTTAAAACATAATTTTCGTGTCTTCTTCGCGAATTGGTCAACCAGATTATTAATAAAACCCTCAAAGTTCTCAAAAATATGCTTCCTATACACACTCATCATGGGAAGACCATTGAGACGACATTCTGCCATAGTGCTTCTAAGCCAGGTTTTATTGTCCTCAAGCTGCTAAAAGATCGTTCAACAGTATATGTCGTGCAGGGTAAAGTGACCAAAATTATAAAGGCTCTTCTCGTTTCAGGGAAAAAAATGTCGGCATCTTTTATGACATCCACAACACTTAATTCTTTTGACAGTTGTATCGAGTATGCTTTCATGAATGTTCTTCTTAATTTATAAAACGTTTTAATTTGTTTATTTTATTGTAAAGTTTTACAGTTTTACTTTCATTTTACATGTGATTTTGTATGTCCCTACGCTGTGCCCTTTTTTACGACTATTTGGCTGATGATGACATGTGAACATGTCGAAACCGGTACTAAGTAAATAAAATATAATAAATATTTAGAGAAGAAGAGGCCTTTTTAGTCTTTATTATTAATTCGATATTAATTCTTTTGAGTCAGGTTTATCTTGCCATAGTTTTTTCCATAGTTCGATTTCGTTGTTGATATTTGATAAATTGTAAAATAGGGAAAAGACTTCAGCAGCTGCTACGAGGTCTTCAAGGGACATGTTTAACATTTGAGCTGGGTGTAATTTAGATAAGGAAAATGTCGGGGTGTTTTCTTCAGAAAAGCGAACTTCAAAAGAATTAATAATCGAGTCTAAGTATGGTATTATTAAAGATCTCCGCCAGAATTCTGAGGGGCTTGCTGCTGGGTGGTTGTTTTGATGTTGCTGACGAATCCGAGGAATACTTCTTGAACTTCCTTGGTTTCCTGATCAAAATATGACATCCCAATCGATAGTTGTTCAGTACTCGAGATGTATATTTATTGTGTTTTAATTTTTTTTTTGAATCAGCCTCTAGGGGGGGGGGCAGTGGCCCCCCTCTGCCCCTCTCTGGCGACGCCCTTGGTTTCATAGTTGTTCTAGAGTTGTTCTACATTGTTCCAAAGCGGCAAATAGAAAAAATAAAAACTCGGCCTATTTTTGGCAAAATCAGATTTTCTTTGTTGTTCTAGTTATTGTTCTAAAAAATCAAAATTATGCGATACATCTAGTGACGTAAAAAGTAATATTATTGCTAATTTAAGTAATATTACGTAATATTACCTGCTAAGTTAATTAATAACCGTAATTTTACTCGTAAAGTAACCCTCTAAATACAGATTAAAATATTGTTCAACATCGGCTATAAGAGACATCTATCGTCCAAGATTCAGTTACAATTGCTCTATGATGCCTGTAATATTTAACAAAATCGGGGAATACCTAGGGACTTGGATTAAATATTTTGAAGCAAATGCTCCTACAATATCAAAGGTTTTTGATGCCTTTTTGGAAATAGAAGCTGCTATATCATGACAATTATTATCAACATCTATACTTCAAGATGAGCAAGACACAATTAAAGGTATTTTAATGTCAAGAATGAATAAATCGATAAAACCAATACATATAGCTGCTAATTTACTGGAACCAGCAAATAGAGGACGATATTTAAGCCCAGAACAAAATTTGATTGCCACAGAATTTATTTTTGAAATAGCTAAAAGTCATCCGAGGCATAATGATTCTGAAAAAAATAACTACTGAATTTGCCGAATATACAAAGTGAGAAGCGGTTTCTTTGCAAAAAACTTGGTCATCTCTAATGAAAAATTAAATGGCGTTACGTGGAATCTGTTCCAGTAAACGCTTGAACTTACTAGCTTCGGATATATTAACACTTTCGCAGACAGAACTGCATATGTGCATATACTGACGTCATTGTGTCCGCGAAAGTGTTAAACTTGCCAGCATCTACAGCAGCTACGGAAAGAACTTTCAGCACGTTGCGTTGGTATAATCAATAAAATATTAGAATTTAGTACTTTATTTATAGACAAGGATTTATTCACAGTCAAAGAGGAAATCGACTGACCGTTGAAAGAGCTGGTAAGCACACATATACAGTGTGTCCCTAAAGTAACGGATATAGGCGATAAAATCATAATAAACGGTTTATGGAAAAATCCCTGAAACGGGTCTAAAGATTTAAATTTTTTTCTGCACAATTTTTTGGTGCAGATTTCAAATTTTTCCGCCATTTTTAAACCAGTTATGACGTCTTCGATATTTTTTTCAAATAGCAATCCCCCATTTTTATTACGGAATATGAAAGAGGATTTTTTTTCTGAATCTATTACAGTTAACATTAATATTGGATATATAAGAAAGAGAAAAATTACTTTAAAGTTTAATTACTTCAAATTTGTATAATGATAAAAATAGCAGTAGCCATGAGTAACTATGGCAACCAATTATTTTAAACAATTCCCTGAGTGACAAAAACTGATTTAGTAAAGCTTCTTGATGTGTGGTGGCGCGCCATCCTGTTGGAATAACTGACGTTGGAATTGAGTTGTGTTAACATTATCGGGATGGAAGGAATGACATCGCTTTGAAATAATTTTAAGATCTCTTTCCAGTTAAGGTTTCCTCAAATCTTTTGCGGATATTGGGTGTGCGACTTTCTCGGCTAATTTGGATTTTGGGTAGCGCAATACCGATAACTTTGTCTATTTACTTGTCCACTCAATGTAAATGTCCCTTCGTCGAAAAAATTATGTTTTTGACAAAGTCTTCGTCATCGTTGCAAAATTGTTGTTGCGAAAACTACGATTCATTGCTCGTGAATCAGGTTTACTTTATGGGAATGATAGTTTGCGGGTTTTAAAATTTTATGAACCGTTGATTTACTAATGTCCAAATTAGACCCAATACTCCTACAGTAACATGAGGGTATTCTTGCTCAGCCAAAAATACGATTTGTTGAACTTCCCCTGAAACATTTAGTAGGCCAGACTTTGAGAAATGCTTCGAGAGATAGCCATGCTGTTTAAATTTAGTCACAGCTAGGCTCACCTACTTTGGCTAATGAGTTGACGATCAGGATGTGTTGTATTAAAGAGGTTAACTACTTACTAAATCAGTTTTGACACTTAGGAAATTGTTTCTTAGGAAAATCTTCTTAAAAATACAGCAAAATGCAGACCTAACAAAAAAAATAATAAATCAACAAATGAATAATCCAACTATTCGATCAGCAAACAAAAATACACTATTTGTATCATACACTATGTATTAAAAACTAAATATCTCTGTGTCCCACCCACACAGAGATATATTTATATATGTTATCATCATTTATAATTTATCCAGGACAGTCAGGAGCGCTCTTTGTTCGGGACTGACTAAGAATTACTTTTTGTATAATTCTCCGGTTTACTTAGTCGAATATATTATAGTTTTTGGCAAGAGCTAATAGTCATTTTCTTTAGTAACGTCACCTCAACGCTAACATACAGGGTGATTCTCAACATATACGCATAAACTGAGGGATTTACTCCTCATGACGAATAATGACTAATGGGCGAAAAAATTTGTAGTAAAAGATTTTCTGATTCATAGATATTTACTTTCAAATCAAGAAAACATAGAACATTTTAAAATAATATCACAGCAAGTGTTCGAAGTTATTTCCCATATTTTCTATCAATTGGGCTCCCCGAATACACGATCCCACACTAGCGCGGCCTAAACGAGGATGTTGGCGTATTGTCTGGGCAGCAGCATGTATCTGATTTTGCAATATTTGCTGAGTATTAACTTCTGTGGCGTAGACTATTGACACAAAAAAAAATATATATATGTAACCCTATTGCGGGTGCTTACGGCTAATTCAGTGAAGACGGGTGTGAGTAAATAAAACAGTGATGTAAAAAAAAATATAATACGAATTAAATTTATTAAATGTTGAGCGCCAGAAATTTTTGAGAGAAATTTCAAACTCCAAAACAATGCAAAATACCTTTTAAAATCAATAACAAAAAAAAAAAACTCTGGTCCGCATAAGCTTATGTTTCCCCTCACAACAACATTAAGAAAATGCATAAAAAAAATTTAAATAATATCTCGAACAAAATAAAGAAAACAAAACAAAAAAATATTTACTAACTTGAATTATTGAAATCAAAATCAATTAATACTCCTAATCAAATAAATGATATACTTCGAAGAAAGAAAGAAAAAAAAATCATTAAACTATTCAACTAAGATGTTGAATTCAATAAACAAATAAGGTAAGTACAATCACGATAATACCGAAATAAAGAATTCAATCTTAATTACTCGACACAGGTAAGTTGATTCGTAATTTAAAA